TGTCGACAATGGGTCCGGCATGTGCAAGGCCGGGTTCGCCGGAGATGATGCACCCCGAGCTGTGTTCCCGTCCATCGTCGGCCGACCCAGGCATCAGGTAAATTGATGGCATCATCAGAGAGGAAAGATTGAAAAAAAAGGAAGGAGAGGAAACGAAAAACAAGCATGCTTTTCAACACCGAGTACAGTAATTAGACCAAGACCGCAGTACTGTACTCTACGTACTTTACTATTCTACGATGAATGCCGGGATGGATTAATAGTAATATACTGTAATAATAATAATCGGGGGATGAATGAACGGTCGAAAAAAGAGAACATTTTGCTCAAATCAACTTCTAATTTAGTGCCTCGGAAAGCGGGAATGTCACCAACTTTTCTTTTCGTAAAGTTAAATCGACGGGGTTATTCATTCCTGCTCACAGAAAATATAGAAAGTAGACGGGTATATATATATTGATTAATAATATAAAATATGAGTTTCCAAAATTTTAAATGAATGCGAATGAACGTGGACATTATTGTATCGCTTTTTTAATTATCACTTATTCATTGTCCAAACTAGTTGAATTTGACACAAATGACAACATCGAAAAGAATATTTGTGGTCAAAATTATATATTGTACCTTATTTTTAGCATGGTTTATTATAACTTTGGTTGTTTTCAGAACTTTCATAGATGCTAAGATTATAAGTGTACATTTCTATTAAAATCAATGGAATCAGGAAAATTGCTGCTCTAAAATCATCCTCCTGTCAAAATTGCAAATGATGTTCTCCAGCAGCCCATATTCATTCATATAGATGCTAAGATTATAAGTGTACATTTCTATTAAAATCAATGGAATCAGGAAAATTGCTGCTCTAAAATCATCCTCCTGTCAAAATTGCAAATGATGTTCTCCAGCAGCAGCCCATATTCATTCAAAGAAGAAATTAATTTATTAAATCCAAAAGTATATAATGTTTTCTGCCCAGAAGATTTTAATTTGTTCAACAAAATGGAAGAAATTGTTGGTATGATTAAGTAAGATTAAATCTCATTTCTACTACTGTACGTGCAAAATAAATCTGGTTGAGCATATTGAAGGCCGGAAGTTATTCAACCGTGGAGTGGCACCGAGTGGTTTATGCCACAGGCTGCGCTAGGCGAGAGCATTCTCTTTTTTCCTTCTCGATTTTTATAAACCGTTTTTGTCTATCTGCAAATTCCTCTCCCCTCTGCCTCTCGACCCCACCTGGGCTTTCCCTTTTGGCCGAGTGCCAAAATCTCGGCGTGGGAGGAAGAGGGAAAAGGGAAAGTGGAGATGATGCAAATGAGGTGAACGGAAATAAACCCGGTTTGCCAAAATATTTCCAAGGGGGCATACAAAAAAAAAAAAAAAAAGAAGTGCTGCGTGTGTGTGTGAGTCTGGGCAAAAAATTTAAGGAAATGCATAGATGAAGAAAGGGGAAAACAGGGAAGGCATCACGACGACTATATGTATTTCCTGTCCACCGGTTCCACGTTTCTCTTAAGCTTAATTTCCTGGGCAAGTCGCCAAAAAGTTGTCGACATCTTGACACGAACCTGGTTTCATAGCCCCATAAATGTCTCCTCGGAATTCCGACCCAATTCTCTAAATCTTCCCAACGCATCTAGGCTAAAATAACACTGATTTCCATTTTTTTAAACTTTCTTAAAATCCAAGCACCAATAACTGTGCATACAAATGTTGGCATTTGAGGGATAAATCTGTCAAATCTCAAATTCCCTGAATTTCGCTCTTTGCGAAACAAACATAATCCTAGACTTTCTCAACTTAAAAAAAAGTCATAACGTTTAAACAGAATTTCGGTTCAAGAACCTAAGGGTACTCTCATGTTTAGATATGAAAGTTTGAAAGGTTTTAGTAACGAGAATAAAGGTTTTATAAAAGGTTTCAAAGCCTTTGTTACTTAGCGTCTAAAATGTTTTATCGATTTAAGTACAGTATTATTACTTTGAAATATTGGCTTCTCTTGAACACTTCAACACTCATTGATGAACATATTACAATTGTTTGAAAAATTTGTATTGAAACTTGAAGAAGAATAACACATCAGAAATTTCAGTGCGAGATAATGGTGACGAAATTAATGAGGCACTTCAATCCTAAAAATGGTCTTTTAATTTTGGAATGTGTCTCAAATGGTCTTTTAATTTTGGAATGTGTCTAAAATCTTCAAAAATAATGGGCAGACCTGTTTTCATTTTATCGAAAGTAATGATTCGTTTTCTTTATCTCTATCACATAGGGCACGTGATTCCAATCCTTCAAATAAGAATAACACATCAGAAATTTCAGTGCGAGATAATGGTGACGAAATTAATGAGGCACTTCAATCCTAAAAATGGTCTTTTAATTTTGGAATGTGTCTCAAATGGTCTTTTAATTTTGGAATGTGTCACAAATCTTCAGAAATAATGGGGAGACCTGTTTTCATTTTATCGAAAGTAATGATTCGTTTTCTTTATCTCTATCACATTGGGCACGTGATTCCAATCCTTCAAACTCCTTGAAAGTTTAAAGCATAATCGAGTGGAAATTCGTAATTTGAACCGTAAACGGTGCAAGTCGTATCTTCTCAAGAACCATTCAAATGCTTTTTGAATAACCTCATGCTAAACAAATCTTATACCAAACTCAAGCTTGTCAATAAATTCCAAACCGAAAGAATTTCTCAGATAATTAAGCGAGTTACAGCTGAGTGATAATTTCAGCCCTTTTAAGAACATAACAGCTCATTTTGCATTAGAATTTGTTTACAGTACTAGAAAAATTATTGGAGAACCCTCGCGAGATTCACCTAGTGCCCCCCACTGGCGGTGTCGATGTCGACAGGCTGAAATTAGCCTCTCTTTTCTTTCTGGGGTCCTCGTCGGGGCTTGACTCTATACACGTCGTTGTCGAACTATTCGAAAGACGCTTGCTTCACATCTTCTTCCCCATGGTTCAAAAACTTCGTTTGTATGCCAAGTCATGCATCTTTCCGAACCACGCCAAATATGGTCCTGAATCCTGCTGAGATGTAATCCGATGCCAAGTTTCAAAATACTGTACCTGAGTTGAGTAACTGGAGATTTATGCGTTTCATTTCCTATATGGAGTTCTGGCCTTGCTTTTGTTGACTCATGTTTTAAGATGAGGCTTTTTATTCAATTAGGTTTGAAAACTGGTTAAGCTCTGCATGGGAGTCCCGAAAAAGGTTTACGAAATCCTTTCAATTTTCTGGAATAAACAGAAATAATTGAAATACCTTTCAATATATGTTGCGAATCTTCTGAGGTTTTCAATTTCTTAGCAAAAGGCTTGAAACAGCGAACATATTCGTGTACACGTTTTTCTCATTTTTATCTGGGATTTCGGAATGTTTTTTCTGGTGTTCCGTAAATCTGCGCACTTGCTGGAAAAGTTACATTATTTTGTATTGACGATTTTCTTGCAATCCAAAAGTTTTCCGTTCAGCCTTGTTTTAATTGAAAGATTGTACAGTTCTGTACTTCACAAAGATGAGCTGCTGTATACTCGATTCTCGATAAAGCATTTGATGTTTTACATTAATTTAGATTCAGTATTAGGATGATATGATATTGAACATCCCTCGGAAGTTCAAGTAAGCTCCTCGAAATGTTTTATTCATGGTATTCTGGTTTTGATGATTTTAAATGAGCATTGAGGTTTTTCATTGGGTCAAGAATTTCGATTTGAATGTATATACAAGTTCGATTCAATACACAATATTGTCAAGCACAGCATTTGATCAGCAATCAAACGCAAAAGGATTTTAAAAGAGACAATTTCCTCTTAATAAGATACCCCTTCAGAAAAATGTCGTTCGGGACTATATAAGCGAATGCGATGCCGCTCGTAATACTTCAGGAATGAAAAGTGAGAAAAATCGACGATATTTTCAAAAAAATACTGTACAATTAACTCATGATGTAAACTACTATAAATGCTTTCCTTCTACAGTATTCTGCTGACCGAGTTCACACGCCAATATTGCACATTGCTCATCATCGTCTTCTTCCATTCCTTCCAATCACGTAAATAGGGTGTCATGGTCGGCATGGGTCAGAAGGACTCGTACGTGGGCGACGAGGCCCAGAGCAAGCGAGGTATCCTGACCCTCAAGTACCCCATCGAACACGGCATCATCACCAACTGGGACGACATGGAGAAGATCTGGCACCACACCTTCTACAACGAGCTCCGAGTGGCGCCCGAGGAACACCCGATCCTGCTCACGGAGGCACCCCTGAACCCCAAGGCCAACAGGGAGAAGATGACCCAGGTGCACCATCAACAATGATCATCATCTATATACATACTGTACTGCACATCAATAACTGCTATTATTGATGTAAAATTTACAATCTACAGTAGGCAGCATATCAGTTTCTGCAAAAATCAAGTTATTGAAATCTGCGTATAGATATACAGCTATGCTGTATGTGGGACTGAGGAAATCAGAAGCAAAACGCAACTGCTGTATAATTTAAAAAAATTATTCATATGCATCAGTGCAGTACTCTAGGAAAAGCACAATATTCCCTTCTGACTTTTCATTTGCGGATGAGCCAAAAGTAAACATCAGCAACTGTAAACTCGTCATTCTCGGTACTCATCCTTTCTGAGATCAATAACGAAAGCAAATCAGCTCATTAGCATGCAGATACAGTATATATACAATATATGCTCAAGAAATGCCGACTTGCGTCAAGGTTTAAATTTGAACAAGTTCGTTCTTGACCATCAATATCAGCAGAGAACAGTTGAAAAACTACAAAGTTTTCTCATGAAAATAGCATTGATTTCATGCGGTCGATCGATGTTCAACTGCTGCAACCCTCAGAGGGTGTAAAGTGACGAGGAATAACGTTTTTCTTCAACCTGAAATCAAGCGAAAACAAAGATCAACTCGTCCTGTATCATAATATGTACTTACGTAATGTGGAGTCAATCAATTTTAGGATCGATGCCACGAGTTTCGCGAAAGTATAATCTTTTTCCTAATGTACTACATTCCCCATCAATATTTTACAGTATACAATATAATAATATGGAGAATCCCTCATCATCATAAGCAGCATCATTTCGTTTCGTAATTTGTTGAATCATCCCGTCCAGCAGGACACGTCTTGATTTCGTGTCTCATTCTCCTTTATTCCTTTTCATCGCCGCATAGATCATGTTCGAGACCTTCAACTGCCCGGCCATGTACGTCGCCATGACGAGGCCCAGAGCAAGCGAGGTATCCTGACCCTCAAGTACCCCATCGAACACGGCATCATCACCAACTGGGACGACATGGAGAAGATCTGGCACCACACCTTCTACAACGAGCTCCGAGTGGCGCCCGAGGAACACCCGATCCTGCTCACGGAGGCACCCCTGAACCCCAAGGCCAACAGGGAGAAGATGACCCAGGTGCACCATCAACAATATTTCCCAGCATATCATAGTACAGGACTGCACAGCAATCACTGATATTGATGTGCAGTATTTACAATCTACAGCAGCGAGCAGGCAGCATATCAGTCTCTGCAAAAATCAAGTTATTGAAATCTGCGTAAATCTGCGTATTCGACGATCTGAGACCGTCGAAAGCAAATCTTTTCATTATAGCATGCAGAAGTATTTATTTGCTCAAGAAATGCCGATGTCAAGGTTTATATTTGAAGAATTTCTTTCTTGACCGTCAGAGAACAGTTGCATGTTTTCTCCTGAAAACAGCTTTGATTTTGCTTGAAAATTCTTCCGATCTTTCATTCGGTTGGTCGATTCAATTGTTGCAATAACCATCAGAGGGTTTAAAGTGACGAGGAATAACGTTTTTTTTCAACCTGAAACAAAGATTAACTGCTGTAACATACTGCTGTACTCATGTAATATGGAGTCGAAGAATTAGGATCGATGTCAAGAGTTTCACGATGATCTTGCTATACTGAAAGTATAATCTTTTTGCTCATGTACTACGTTCCCCATCAATATTGTAATTTGTTGAATCATCCCGTCCAGCAGGACACGTCTTGATTTCGTGTCTCATTCTCCTTCATTCCTTTTCGTCGCCGCATAGATCATGTTCGAGACCTTCAACTGCCCGGCCATGTACGTCGCCATGTAATTTGTTGAATCATCCCGTCCAGCAGGACACGTCTTGATTTCGTGTCTCATTCTCCTTTATTCCTTTTCATCGCCGCATAGATCATGTTCGAGACCTTCAACTGCCCGGCCATGTACGTCGCCATCCAGGCCGTGCTTTCGCTCTACGCTTCCGGTCGTACGACGGGTATCGTCCTGGACTCGGGCGACGGCGTGTCCCACACCGTACCCATCTACGAGGCAATGCGGGACGGGGTGCGGTAGGAGTCCGACCTGAACCGGCCAGCCCTAGAGTGGCTGATGGAGTACTTCTAGGAGTGCCTTTCTCCGATGAGGAAGTGGTGCTGGCCACGGTGATTGAATTAAAATATGCTGTGCATATATTTGCAGTCTTATTCATCGATCGATCGACAAATGATATGTACAGTACAACATATGAAGAATAGAATGCCGACTCGCCGAATAATATATTCCACCTTAAACTTTACTCTAGTTTGGGAGGGATGTATACATACTGTAGTGCGTATTCTCTAAATAATGACTGAATGCTTGTCGGAAAGGCTTCATGTTATTCATCGAAATCATTCCATATTGCCCGCTGAAATTTTGTTGTTGTTGGAAATTTTACTTTTAACGTATGCTGCTCCTGCTGATGGGATCAATTATTCTCGCATGACTATATACAGCAGATTCTCCCGATGTAATCTCGGCTGATCTGATCTTCTCTTTCTATATTTTCTAACATTTAAATTGTTAATGTTCTTTGAATCCATTGCTTGACATTTGAAGCGACCATATTTTCTGCAAAGTCTTGTGATCTTACCTCTCAATAGTGAACCCATCAAGTCAAAATTTGTATCAAGTTGGAAGTAGTTGTACTGATGTATATACATAGAGTAATCCTACGTATAAATTTAAATATGTTTCTTTGTAAATTCTTGGAATTTATTTGAACATCGATTGACATTTAATCGACGATTTCTCGCCTGAAACAGTTTTCTATATTTTTGATAGTTTCCACGAATTTCTCTGGCGGACTCTTTCTGATGTTGAAATCTATTTCTCCGAATTTTGCCTCAAATGCATCATTCCTCTGAGGATATGAATAAGCGTAATAATTCACGATCTTCACCCACTTTAATTCGAGTTAAATTTTTTTCTTCGATGGATTTGTATACCACACGTTCATCAGTAATATTCTCTTTCAAGACCCCCTCGAACGAAGATACAGTACCACTTTCTAAAATCTCATCCATTATGCAGATACATCACAGTATATACAGTAGTCGTCTTTTGTTGCTGGTTTACTATTGAAGAGCTGACTCAATGATGTCCATTTTTCTCTCTCTGTCGGTATATACGTTGCCATTATATACTCATGATCTATTCTCATCATCACCATGCAATTGCAGCTGAGCGGGAAATCGTGCGTGACATCAAGGAGAAGCTGTGCTACGTGGCCCTGGACTTTGAGCAGGAAATGGCCACCGCCGCGGCGTCCACTTCCCTGGAGAAGTCCTACGAGTTGCCCGATGGCCAGGTCATCACCATCGGCAACGAGCGGTTCCGGTGCCCCGAGGCCCTGTTCCAGCCCTCGTTCTTGGGCATGGAGTCCTGCGGCATCCACGAGACGGTCTACAACTCCATCATGAAGTGCGACGTGGACATCCGTAAGGACCTCTACGCCAACACCGTCCTCTCCGGCGGCACCACCATGTACCCGGGTATCGCCGACAGGATGCAGAAGGAAATCACCGCCCTGGCGCCGTCCACCATCAAGATCAAGATCATCGCACCGCCCGAGAGGAAGTACTCCGTCTGGATCGGCGGCTCCATCCTGGCGTCCCTGTCCACCTTCCAGCAGATGTGGATCTCCAAGCAGGAGTACGACGAGTCCGGCCCAGGCATCGTCCACCGCAAGTGCTTCTAAAGAGTCAGGAAATCATCACCAAAAAAACCAACACAGAAGGACGAAGGCCTCACATCATCTCGTCATCATCTCATCCCGACCTACTCTCACAGCCAATCCCACCCGTTCAAGAACAACATCAGTAAAGAAGGAAGGAGAAAAAAGCACACACACACAGAAACTGGGATGCCCGACGCCAAGAGAAGAAACGAAAGAAGATTCATCAAAAAGAAAAAAACGGGGGAACGGATGAAAAGCCTATAGTTTTTAACCCGGAATAACCCGCGAACCTTCCGCTGATGTGCCGTAACCCCCATGAGCAAAGCTTCGGACTCGAGGGCGGACGTTTCAATTTTTATTGTCCTTTCTATATTGCTGCTGTATTCCGTTCGTCGTGGGTTTTCGTTTCGTGAGGGAGGATGACCGGCTGGTTGGTTGGTTGGTTCGTTTCTTTAATTTTGTTTCCGTGCTTTTATCGTTACATTATCATTGTTTGTTTGTTTGAGTTTTCATTCGTTTCGATGAGTTTCGCCAATTTTAATCGAAGGAGAACATCAGCCGAAAAAAAGACAAAACTCGCCAAAAAGGAACATCAATAAAGAACTTCGTGTCATCAAAGCCAAGATAAGACCCGCAGCCTGTTTTCCTTCGGTTACTACTTGGTCGTACGATGCAACCCATTTTTCGCGTGTCCTTTATACAAGGACCGGATGTAAGTGATGTACACAGTGACGGGAGCACGTGAAAACGGGGAGGATGTTCTATTAGACATATACGTCTTATTTTGACCGTTTGCACCTTTTTTTGCCGACGCTAGCTTCCCGTGAAGGTGCGTCCCTTGGAAATAAGGATTCAAGCTACTGTATCACCAATGGGTTGCAGCGTCACCTACCTGAGACTTGAGCTACATCGATCAATAAAATAGAGAACGCTACAGCACCATGGATTAACGCAGCTCCCTGCTCCAACAAAAACTTAAATCTCGTAGATACATAATTAGGGGTTTATGATAAGGTATATACAGTACACTATTTTGGAACATGCACCAACACTTTAAAGAGATTTCAATCGAAATCCTGCGGCAAGAATGGCAAGCTGATAACTGCACAGTTCATATAGAACGTCCGTGGAAAATTATTCAAATTAGTATGATTCAAGTTCAAGGATACTTCATACAGCTCAAGTTAAGGGTTAAATAAGGAGCTTCCCCGTTGATGCACATCTTTATCTACATTGATGTTCTGGACTTCATTCCCAATGAAAATGATGAAAGTTTTTTCAAACGTCTTAACCAACATTGTATGCTAATAAATTGTCATAAATTTACCGTAATTCGGATTCGTGAAAAATCCATACAGACGAGGGAGGACTCCAACACACTCGAAAATACTTACTAAGACAACAATTATCCAAACCAACTGTGAGCACCTGAAAAGTTGCTTGAATATTTTGATAATTTCTAGGATATAAAATTCAAATCTAACCAAAATTTAAGAATGAGACATAGAGATATAATGTGCTGCTGCAGGGAAGATGCTGAATTGATCAGAATGACTGCTGCACGGTATTTCAATTTTTTGATGAAGTGAAATCCTCTTACAACAACATCCTGTTACTACTCGCAGGGACATGATGAAAATGTGTTTTGCTGAATAATTTATAATACAAAATTTTCAAAATGAATTACTGGAAACATTTTTCGAGTTAGACCTCATATTCAATACCTTGTTGCTTTTCTGACTTTTTCAAGTTATTTACTAGTGATAGAAAACTTAGTGATATTTCAAATCGATTGCTTAGCTGAGAATGCGGTAAAAAAAATTGTCACACGTGGAAGCCAATTAAAATGTTGAGCTCTTTGTCAAGAGTGAATTTTATGCAGATTTTCTCTTGTATTTTTTACTCATTCTGAGCACTGTAAATTCTGAAGGGGGAATAAGTTTGATCCAATAACATACCAAGATAGTTGTTGCCATGAATGATCCAAGTCAGGAAAACGTTTTCTGCATTCTTGTGTTCATCTTCTTGAAAACTTTTTTTTCTGATAAATAAATTGACCAGGCATTAAATTGACGCTACTAAAAGCAGATCAAACTACATACTGTATACTGCATATAAGGTTTCAGGGACAACTTCACTCCCCCCAAAAAAATGTAGGGCATAGAATTATGGTGGGATATTTTCTGGATACCCGATTTTGAAAATGAAAGACCGAGCCGAGATGCTTCAAAATCCCTAAATTTCCATTTCAAAATACGAAAAAAAAAACAGCCCGAATACTTGGTCGTCAATCCCGTCAAACACGCTCGGAAGCATATATGGCAACTTTGCAGCCCGCCTTTATAACTTGACTCATGAGGCTGTAGAAAGGTGCCAATTCGGCGTCATTTTTCAGGGCAGTGTCGTGATGCTCGAGTTCTTCGTCCCTGAACTTGCGAATGACGTCCAGCAACTCCTTGTACTCTTCTGGATCATCCGAGGCTTCCAAGATCTCTCGTATTTGGTCGTTGTAATGGTCTCCAATCACGGATTCGACTGCCACTGTACATGCCATAGCAGCTTGTTTTCCCAACAACGCGGTTCCTGAGCAAAATCAAATTTCCGACATGTTTATCACCCCGATTTGCCGGTATTTTCAGCAATTTTTTTCCGTCAACTTGAAAATTTTGAAAATATCCAAGAGTATTAAAAAGATATATTTTGTTTTGTTTTCAATTATATTGTACTTTACGGTAGAATCTTGTTAAAAGAAGCAGTCAGGGACCTGAACAGAAATTTGTTAAAATGAGATTCTCGCTTTTTTGAGCACATGAGACTACAGTTTCATGGGAAAAAGGTAATAAATGTTCTAAGCAATTCCACAACATACATGTGAAGAATTCCCATCATTTCCAACTTATTTTCATGAGATAATAGAGAAAATCCAAAAAGTAAAATAAAATCCATGTGTAAGAAGGGCATACGAGGGTTCTAACAAAAGTTCTCGGAGTAGCAATGAAAATGGCCTACAGTTGACCTGAAAACAATTTTTTCTTTAGGAAAAACATATTCTTTGGCACACAAAAATATCAGCCCTGTTTGACACATTTTTTTGAATTTTTTCATACTTCACCCTGGCAGAGTTTTGCCCTCCACTCAAAAAATGAGGCGCCCTTTTTTTGTTGTAGCCCAGCTTTCCCCTCAGAATTTTTGAAATCAACTTGAAATTCTTTCTAAGGGTTGCCTCCGGATGAAAATTCCGCCATTTTCATTGACAGCCGCCAATGTGGCGGCTGTGAAGGCGGCTTTTGATGAAAATGACGGAATTGCCTTGGATGACCTGGAGGCAGCCCATTTTTTCAAGTAGCTCTTTTTAAATGATAAAATACCGTACTGTATAGCTAAATACATTTTGATTAGAGCTTCATGATTCCTGCCTGCGATTTACAAGACGCGTTTTTAGTTATAAAAACCTCCAAAAAGTTAGTACGTGTTCAACCCAAACGGGTTTAGCACGGTTAATGCCATCATTGTTAAGATATTACCGGGTATATGTGTGTTAGCAGGCAAAAATTCGTTATCCTGAGATTACAGAGAAAAGGAGTTCGTTACTAACGAAATTTTTTGAACATTGTGCCAATGAAGAAACTGCTGGGACCATGAAAAATTCGGTGTAACGAGTTTTTTTGTAACGACATACTATGGCATACTGTTCACATGTATCCATGTGCTCGCGAGATTTAATCCGTTTTCGAGCTCATTTCGAAGCTTCTTTCCTCAATCTAACTCATCAGAGAAAATCTTATTTGATAAAATATTGTAATGGTGGAATTTTCCTTCCAGCACTAATTGGCGTCTAGGAATTTGTACTCTAAATTCTTAATGATACATCGAAAACGGGACAGAATGGATTTGAAAGCCTTCTGAAAAATCTCACCAGCACCCAACGCGAAACCCGCGATGTTCCAGATAGGAAGAAGAGCCGTGGGTCTCGCTCGGTACTTGGGAATCAGCTTTTCAAAGGTTGCCCGATGCACTTTCTCCTGATCCCACATGTGCTGCAGAGTTGGTCCAATGCTCGTGTTGCCTGAGAAGAAAAAAAAGACATTCCAGGAATCCACAAAAAAATCATCACCTTTAAACAATTTCACAAGTTTTAGGAAGATGAATCACACTTGGAATAAGGCCTGAAGATCGAACTAAACACAAGTACATTACAGTATTTTTTTTTCTTACGGTTTCCTGGATAGCCATGTGGACATTTAGTCAGTGCCTGAATCATCTGATCTCACTGAACTTAAACTGAGCCAACATTACCAGTATTTCCTCAAGTACCATGTGCTGTCGAGTGAGACGAGAACCTTAGACTTTTGAGCTATAAATTTTCAAACATTTTAATAACATTTTAATACGATGCGCACCATAGTTTTCAATTACCAAAACTCCCATTTGAAAAGCTGCGTTGCGTAAAAACGTAAATTCAAGCCCACTTGAAAATCACATTCAATGGCAATACTCTTTGTATCTAACATTTTAATACGATGCGCACCATAGTTTTCAATTACCAAAACTCCCATTTGAAAAGCTGCGTTGCGTAAAAACGTAAATTCAAGCCCACTTGAAAATCACATTCAATGGCAATACTCTTTGTATCATACAAATAATTCTAGCATTGAAACAGAAAAGTCTGAAAAAACTTGAAAGTTGAAAGAAAAGTTTCCCATTTTCACAAAAATGTCTCTTGAAAATTTGAAACAGACTATGATGCGCGTCTACTTTCCTGCTCAAATGTTTTGGAAAAAAATGTGTGGGCGGCACTCAAATCACAAATGTGACTGGCTGGTTCTTGTAGCATGCCTGGAAGCTGTAATACTGTAATCCTTCACAGCAAGAATTTAAAAGGCATCAATTTTCGCATTTTTTAAAAATCAAATCGAAGAGAAGGGGAAAACTAGCAAAATGTAATCATTCTTCAGCCATTCCACGGTTTGCCGAAAAATGCGATTAGAGAGCCAAACAGAAGATCAAGAAACTTAGAATTTAGTAGCTGTGATCAATAACAGAAATGCTTCCCAGTGGTTCCATGTACAGTAACATCCTCCCAGAATGAAGAGTTTCGTGCAACTGATGGAATGCATGATTGCAGCTGAATTTTTCTACAAAAGATCACTCAGTTTTTCAAAAAATAAAAACAAATCTGAGAATGCCAGAAAAGCAAGATCTAATTGATCATAGGCAGGTCTGATATGAAAATTGTTTCAAGTCATTAACTTTTAAAATCTCTTTATAAAAAAAGGTATACAGTGCAAACAAATTCTGAAGTCCCAAACACTTGGTTCTAACGAGATTTTACTCTAAATGGAAGTTAAATTCAGAGGATCAAGATGCAGAAACCTGTTGGTTTTTATTCTATTTAAAAAATATTAAATTACCAGTGAGACAAGAAGTGCACTCACCAAGAACAGCAACCTGTCCAGCATATATCCTATCAGCACCGTATTCCCCGGCATGATCAACTCGGATAATTCTATCGATCAGCTCTCGTTTCTTCGTCCTGGACATTTGCATTCGTGCCGCCGACAAGTTTCGCATCACAGTAACCAGTTGAACACGAGGAACCAACATTTTGATTCACAAATTCTGTCCTGATAATTTTAAAATTTCAGCTGGAGGAGGATTAATCGAAGGGAACCCGCGGAAATCTTCCCTTTCCGTTCAGTCACACAGATACAACAATTAATTCATCATCGACAAGTAAACTTCGCTTTGCTAAATTCCCGGCGTTTTTTTACAAAGAAGTGGAAAAGTCGTTCGCATTTTTACTCCAAACCTATAAATCGTGAGAGAAGGACGCTTCAACAAGAGTTCTACAGTACTGTACAACAATGACGATGCCATCGACAAACATTCAGGTACAACTTCACAGGAATAATTTGAAAGTCTTCAATTCTTTGCTTGTTCAAGATTAAATTGCAGATGAAAAAACTAGTAAAAACTAGTATAGAAGTCAGTACTTTTTCAGCATTTCCAAGGTTCACCAACAAATTCGATTGAGAGCCGAACAGGAGATCGTAAAATTCAGAATTCCATGAGCTAATGGGATTATGGTTTCTTTAAAGACCTAAACTAGAATTATCGCATTTCGTTCCTCTATGGAACGACAAATTTTAAATGAAGTCTATAAAAATTGAAATCATATAGAACCGAAAAGCTCGTTAAAAAAAAACACATCGCATCAATTCAATGCCTGAATTTAGGTTCAAAGATTTTTGAGCTACTCAAAATTTTCACGATTGCTTTGAAGAGTTAAAACTCGAGTTCAATCCAAACGTGTATGAAGCTTTTTAAAAGAAAAAATATTCATAAAAAATTCACAATCCAGCAGAAATTCTCCTTCATGTTTCTGAATATCACAGCTAGCAGTTGAAAGAAATGGATCTCAAACAGACGCGCAAATTTTAGTGAAGATGTAAAACGTCTTTCAACTTCACCGGAAAGACAAAACGCTGAATTGTCACTTTCACGCTATGGAATTTCAAGGCAACTTGAAAAACAAACCATTTCTCTTTCATTCTATCCCTTCCCATCTTTTCACTGACCGTACTAACCTTAAAAAATTATTTTGTTCCCTCTCAAATATTTATAAAACGTTAATGCATTAGTCGGCGTATCCATGAGTTTCTGAAACTTTCAACGGAATTTAAAATCACATAACTTCACCTTAATCGCCATGAAATTAGCGCTTTCAACCAAAAATAAAATAACATCCAAGCATAAGAGGGGGTCTAGTAAAATTTCTCGAAATAGATATTGATAAAGCATACAATTCAGTTGAAAAACAATTATTGTTTAGAAAAAACATTCCTCGGGCAAAAACAAAATTCAGGCCTGTTTGACATATTTTTGCTGAACTTTTTTGCAGAAGTATCCTTGACAGCTTTCTGATCTTCGATCAAAAGAGGATGCGTCCATCTTGCTTTTTTGCGTAGCCCAGCTTTTTCTTCAGAATTCTTGAAATCCACACGGCCTCAAGTTTTCCACGGTAGTTTCGCCTTTTTCATTAGCAACCGCCACATTCTCATCATACATGGCTTCTCTTGACGAAATCATGATGTAAATTTTAAGAATTCTGAAGGGAAAGCTGGAGTAAACAAAAAAGCTGCGAGATGGGCGCCACGTCTGCTGAGTGAAGAGCAGAAACCTGCCACGGGGACTTCTGCAAACATTTTCTGAAAAATATGTCAAAGACATCTGATTTTTTTTGTGCAAAACCTTTTTCTGAACAAAACTTGCTTCTCAGCTCAATCGTATGACGTTTCAATTTATCTTTCGAGATCATTTGTCAGACCCCTAATACGTGATAAACAGTAAACAGTAGCATTATTCATCAGAACCTATGACAATGTTTGATCAATTTTCCGGGAAATAAATTTTAAAATTTCAAGCATCCATTAAAAAAACCTTTAATCGTCCTCTTCTGGAGGATCAAAATCGCGAACTTTCGGCTCCAGATCCTCGCCATACTGCATACAATTGTCTATGGTTAATAAAAGGTCATTTATGCTATCCTCCTCGGAAATATCCAGCGGAATGTAATGAACAAGACTGAAGCTTTCTATGACATTGGCCAATGCTTCAGTCAATTTCATGTGCTTCTCTTCCCACCGGGTCTTTGGAACATTCGTCCCAAGCAGCTCCTCTGAATCAGGAACAAGATACCTGAAAGAAACTCTCAGTAAAACATGACGATGAACAACGCTAGTCACTGAAGCTCACCTCTCTATCCTCTTTTTCGAACTTTTCGACAGGAGATCCATTTTCGTGATGATATTCACATGAGGAATCGCCAAGTTTGCCATTGCGGCGAGAGCGACCATAGACCCTGATATGAATTTAGAATTTTCCAAGACGAAATTCGCGTCCAGCACAAAAACTCCACAAACTCTGAAGTTCCAATCTTCCAAGTGTTCCACCAGGGTTCGCATCACATTCATGTGGGTGAAAAGCTCTATTTGTCCCGGGCAATCCAGGAGGTAATAGTCATCCTCGCCCGAACCCAACTCGTCTTCAAGCCACTTGATGTTGTTGATGAGGTACCTGTTAAATTTGACGCATGGTTATCTCTTAGAGACTTAGACTACACTGCCCCAGAAAATCGGGCGATTTTCAAAAATTGTGAACAGCTACATGGAGACATGAGATGTCAGGTGATTGTCGAAACCAGTGCCGCCCAACATACGGCCCGAGGGCCACATCTGGCCCACAGAGACTCTTCATCCATCCCACACTGCATTCCCTTATTTTTCAAGGTGGCAGCCGCTCCCATCGAAAAAAATACAGTGAATGACGAATTTTAAAATTCAAAATGCTGATCTACCGTTCAAAAATGCTATACGGCTATGTTTGTGATTCAATGCACGGCACTGGATTAATTTTAAAACTTCTCATTTAAAAAGGGTATGGTGGAACCTTAAAAATTGTATACTGCAGCCCATAAAAAATCTCAACCTCTGCGATGTGGCCCTTTGCCACGCATGATTTGGGCAGCACTGGTTCAAATAATTAGCTCTTGCCTTATTTTTGGCACCGAAATCCGCTCAGCACTTATCTTCTTGTTTTTTTCCTACACAACTTTTAGACAGACCCGACATCTGTTTTTGTAAACTGAACGCTTGGAGTGCCTATTCTTTCTAGATATTAAACATCTTGAGTTAACACTATACCTGACATTCCAAATGACACGCATCGGCCTCAAAGATGAATTTTTCAAATACAGTTGAAACTTAATGACTAAAACGTCCAAAAGTTGACTACTTCCCGAAATCAAATATTTCCAAGTCCATGTCTGAATTCTTTTAGAAACAATGCATTAAAACCCTCCATAGCTCAAAGGCTTTTCCCCTTAATCCTTCATAAACCGAATCTTCCGAATGCCCTTTGGCTATAGCCGTATTTCATTTACATCAGAAAAACAAACGAAATAAAATGTAACTTGATGAATTTTGAAAACAAGTGAATGACTAATTGGTCAAGTACTGTAAACCCTTGCCAGTCAACTCATTCAGGAAGGACTGAGAGGCCCAGAATGTCACCAATCGAATTTTCCTGTAATCATTATTTCTTTCCATCCAACAAGAACAAGTCTCATAATCCCATCTCGAACTGTTTTGGTGGCCTCTTGAACTCTAAGTACGACTTGAAGAGGTTCGAGAGCATCTCCTTTTCGCAGAAAAACGACAGACACCCGCAACTCAGCTAAAATGTTCGGTGATTAATTCGGATGGGAAAAAACTGTCCAGGAAATAACATTTAAAGATCAGCAGGTCAAGAAAAATAAACGCACTCCATGCAGAAAACCAGGCCTCCATTCGGACCAAACATCAGATCTTCGTCTTCCATGGCGTCGCTCAACTGGATCAAGTCACGTATGTCCAGAGCAGGCACGTAATCGAAGCGTTCCGCAGCCGGGTCAAGATTGATCACGTGAATGGATCGTTTCGAGTCTTCAGCATGACGTTGCACGTTCGTGCAATACGTGGACTGGAAGCAAGTGAACCATGTAAAAGTTTGGCGAGGGAAAGTGCAGGAAGTTTCAGAGGTGAATTCATTGGACAATTCTCTTCGAAGCTGTGCTTCAAAACTTATACTTCACGTGTGCAGTGAAACCCCGTCAATTCAGGATAGAACACTTTTTTGGTTACATAACAAAGCAAATGGCACGAAAAAAAAATAGCCAGCTACTCGCGATATTTCGAAATGATGATACAATCAGATATTGTATTCCCTTGCTTATGCAATTACAGTTGAACTTTAATCAATCAAATCTCCATACATCGAATATTTTTTAATATCTTGCAAGTTCTTGTCTGAATTCCCTCAGAAAAAATTCATAAAAACTTCCATAATTCAATGGATTTCCCCCTCAAATCTCAAATTTTGTGAAGCCTTTTGTCTATTTTCTCATTGACAAAGACAATAAAAATTTCACTTGACGCATTTCGAAGGAGAGTGGAAGACTACTTGGGCAAATGAACCCCTGCCTCCAACTTCACCATCTGGTCAACTCATCTAAGAAGCAATTCAAGTTTTCGAATATCACCAATTATAATTTCCCGCAATTCTCCTTTTTTTTCTTCCAACAAAAATGCTGGTTTCCCAGCTCAAACCTCCTTAACTCGAATTTTTTGCTGGTCTCTTGACGTTCGACTTAAATAGGTTCAAATTTAAGATTGGCAAAAATAACATCGTCCCCAAAAATGCACAAACGTGAATGATTACCAACAAAATTATCAGCAAAGTATTCCCTCAACGTGAATGAATTCAAAATCAATTTGTTAGTTCATTTCACAGCATCCCAGGCCGACCATACACGCGTTGAACTCGTGCTAATTCAACTCTGTCTCCGAACACCGTCGATAGCTTAGAACAATATTTTTTCAACCACTTCTGATTGACTTCACGAGCACTTCAAGGCAACATCAGTAAATTGATCGTCCGAAGGATTCTTCAGTAAATAATATCACGGAGAACATACACACCTTCCCACTGCCAGCTGGCCCCATCACGAGCTGGGCATACCTCATCTCGAAAACACCCTGAGAAACAAGGCCAGCGCTCAATATCTTACGTGAAACACAAGATGACCCTGAGAAGTACACAAAAATGCTCATGAAAAACCGTCATATTAAATAATGTCGCTTGAAAAGAAAGTAGACTTTGATTCTTTCGGGACGCAACGTGCATCCGTTCGCGCTGCATTCTTGACCCAAAAATCGTAAGGCGCAGTAATACATGAGGGACCGGAATCAAGACGGTTGAACAACGNAAATCAGTCGGAAGTCGTGAGATACAAGAACCATTCCACCCTCGAACTCTACAATAGCTTCAGCCAGTGCGTCAATTGTTTCAATGTCTAAGTGATTGGTAGGTTCGTCCAGGAAAAGCATGTGCGGGGCCTGCCAGGACAACCACGCAAACACAACGCGGCATTTCTGACCATCGGACAATTGCCGAATTGGACAAATCTGAAAAGAGAGGCGAGTTGAACATGTGGTCAATGCGTCGAAGGATAAAAGAAAAATCTCGATATTCTTCAGTATTCGCGCACAACGAAACACCTTTCTCCATTCCGACTTGAAAAATCTGAATGCCTCTTAAATTCGCAAAAATCTGTTCAAGTATCGGGCAATCTTTTTGATCCACCCTATTCACTCACGTACCCGTTTCCGAATTTGACATGAAAACGGAGGATACGCGTGGACGACGGGTACGCGATTTTCAAAGGGTTTTATAAGTTCCTGTGCACGTTATACAAGGCACACTTCTAATGGGAAATTTCGGACCAATTTCAGAATAACAAATTTTTCTTTATGGAAAAAATGTGTAATAAAATTCATGCTCGATTCACGTCCAAATTTAAAGCCGTGTGCGTTATTTAAAAAAAGTTGCAGTTTTAGGCCCTAAAACGGTTGTGCACGGCTTACTCGAGGGCCCGTGGTGCTCAAGCAGAATCTCTTTACAATGAATTATTGCTTACAAAGAATTTTCTTTTTCGATCCCTCTCCAATCGTCACAACGTTATTTCAATTTCATTTTAACGAATATTCATCAACAGTGAAGCTTTCTAAGGTCCCCAACATTTCATTTTAACGAGATTCTCCTGTACATCTTTCTTCAAATGGGCAAGCTTATCACAACTTCGCTTTCCAGGCAGAGACGGTATCACTCGGGAGAAAACATCACTGATGAGAAAAATGATAATTTATCCAGTTGATTAATTTAGCCAGCGGGGAGGCTGCAAACATGAGGAACGTCAAGGGATCGATGATGAAGACTTACCTGCTGTTTCCCCGTAAGCCCATAACGACCAATAATTC